AAGGAGGACAAGTCCAAGGCGGAGGGCGACAAGAAGGAGGACAACAACAGGGCGGAGGGCGAGAAGATGGATCCGGGTTTTTTTGAAATGGACTAGCAGACCAGCTGCGATCGGGCCCAAAAAACACGCGCAAAGATAGTGTCATGTTCTTGGGTGTTTTGGGTTGTTTAGAAGGGTTCACGGTGGTTTAGGGGTCAGGGTGTTTGGGCATAGCGAGCTTAGGGTTTCTAAGGTTGGATTAGGGCTTTAGGGTTGGCTTTTCTTTCAGTGCTTGATTCATAGGGCTTGGAGTTAGGGTTTACAGGGTTTATACAGGCTTTAGCTTTGAGGCTGCATAGGCCTTTACAAGAACCAACCCATCCAGGAGTCTGAAAACAGGGCTCTTCACCCTCAGAGCCCCAAAGATTTGGGGATCCTAGCTTTTATCCTCCCAACTCTATATTCCAAGTTTCTAAATTCTGTGTCCCTCAACTATCCGTTCCCCACGAAAACTCTCCTCCCTAATATAAAACCCCATATAAACCTGAACACCAAGAAACCCATGCAGGCTCAATCCCAGAAGAAAGCCAGTGAGGATGAGATGAAACCCAACGAGGAGCAACCCCGGAAGAATTGGGGTTGAGGGCTGCAGGGCTGGGGTTGATCGGGGCTTATGATAGGGGACTTAAAAGGTTTCGGGCAGACTCTTTCGGGTATTGGGGGTTGGCCTCTTCCAGTTCTGGATCTGTATAGTCTTGCTTCTCCTCTTTGTCACGGTCTCGACACTTTGGAATTGAGGTTACATACGTTTGGGGATCCTAGCACTTATCCTCCTAAATCTATATTCCAAGTTTCTAGGTTCTCTGTAACCCTCAACTATCTGTTCCCCACGAAAACTCTCCTCCCTAAACCTATTATAAGCCCTATAAAACCCCATATAAACCTAAACGCCAAGAAGCCCAGCCAGGATCAATCCCAGAAGAAAGCCAGCGAGGATGAGACCACCGAGGATCAGCAAAAACCCAGTGAGGATCAACAAAAACCTAGCGAGGATCAGTCCCAGGAGCCACCTGCCGAGGCTCAGGCATCTGACGACGATGAGGGTCCATGGGTCGACTGGCCGCCTGAGCAACCCATAGGTCCATTCTTGGAGGTGGGGCTTGATGTGATGGTGGAGTGGCGAAACCTGGATAATGTGTGGAAAGCTTGTCAGGAGTCAGATGCTCCTTTCTACAAAAGCTTGGACTATGAGACCCTTGTTAGGATGATGGAGATGGCCCTTGGACCCCGGCCAAGTCACGTGCTTACACCTGTTGAGGTAGCAGCAGAGAAGAACGACGAGCAAGACGACGAAGAGCAGGAGGATGAGGAAGAGGAGGAAGAGGAAAGGGAGGAGGACGAGGAAGAAGATGTCCAGCAAAAGGAGGACGAACAGGAGAAGCAAGCTCCCAGCCAGGAGGACAGTCGAGCAGCTAAGCCAAAGGCTAGAACCTCAAGCCCGAAGGTCAAGGACTGCAATGGCATCCCTCGCCACGACACGAAGGCGAACGCCCGGACCGAGAACCCCGGAGAGGCCTTTCAAGTATGCTTCCTTGACACACATGTAGTGCATGACGACGATGATGATGATGATGATGATGGCTATGTGCATGGTAATCATGCTCATGATTGAGAGGGTGTATGTATGTATATTACATATATTACATATATTACATATATATATATATGTGTGCAGCATTTTCAGTCGAGCCTGTTTAGTGTAGATAGGTGCCTCATGCCATGCGAGCATCAGAACTGACTTTCTGCAGAGGAGAGGACCCGTGGCTTCATTTGATGATGACGCCTGGAAGATGTTGCGACGCCTTTGTGCCACTAGCTGTGCTAGGGGCCGCCAAACGAGTAGCGAGACAGTAGCACAGTATAGCGCCATATCCCACCCTCCAAGCCAAATGCTTCTTCTATGTATCCCAGGATGTTCATACGTTTATTTTTTGCCCGTTTTGCAGCTTCGGTCTTAATCGTCATTTACCACTACAGCAGCGATTCTTCTCTTGCATCAGCAAGAACAACAACTACTAGTACCACTATCCCACCCTCCAAGTGAAATGCTTCTTATTGCATCCGAGGAATTCCACGACCTTGGGAAGCGAAGCTACGCTTCAAGCCGCAAAGCGTGAGGGTTTATAGGGGGTGAGTTTAGGGGGTGGGTGAGTTTAGGGGGTGACTTCGGGTATATACGGGCTCGACTTTAAATGCTGCGCGATATCAGACTCGAATTATATATGTGTACCATATATATACAATAGGACATTTAACTAGGTGTGACAAAACATACATAGTGATGCTCCATGATCGGTAACGATTATCCTGGGCACGCCCAAAACCTCAAAGCAACACGACGAAGGAGACACCAACCGCGGGATCTATTCTGGATATGCTGACAAGTGGGCCTCCAGTTTCTGTCGAAGGCTCAGCCAGTCAATGGGTTCGCACTATAGAGACATGTAGTCCATTTTGATAAGGAACGGGAGAAGCAGCTGCTTTTCTACATCGCCAACTTGATGACGAGGGCCCCATCGACCCCGGGTTCGGAGGACATATGTTGTGAGTATGTGCGGTCTGTTGGGTTGGGATTATTACAATATCAACATGCTAAGCCCCAATTCCTTGAACCCTGAATCTTAAACCCTTATAGAGGGCTTAGGGTTGAGGGTTTAGGGTTTATTGGGCTTTACTAAGGCTAGAAGCATTCGAAGCTGGCTTCAGGCTTCATGAAGGTGTTTAAAGCCGATCAACCCTATAAATCCCTGAGCCCCGACGCTTAAGTATGGAAACCCTAATCAAACAAACCCTTCTTAACTATCATTGAAGGAGCCGGCTCCAAAGCGTTTCAAGCAAGAACCTCGACGTGAAGATTCACTCGGATCTACGAGGACGCCATGCACCCTTTCGAGTAGGAGCCCCACTCCTTTGAGTTCGACAAGATCAGAGGGGACCCGAAGCGGGACCCCGCCTCCGCCTTCGCCGGCAGCCCCAGCCGCACCTGCTCGCCCGACCTCGGCAAAGCCCAGTGCAAAGCCCAGTCAGGAGTCTGTGCATGCAGGGTTTGCCCAGAATGATCGCGAGCTTCGCAGAAAGACTGAGAAGGACGCAGCAGGGGCAGTGGCTGATGCAGGCAGCGACAGCGACTCTGAGGGAGAGGAAGCTAGAAAGCTGTACAACAGGATGGAAGCCAAGCTGAGGCGACTCTGCACACCAAAGCCATCGGGCAAGTGTGATGCCGACAAAGCCCTGCTGGCACAGTGGAGGGAGAAAGGCCACAGCAGGACGCAGCTGGTCAAGCTGATGATGGAAGCAGATGGAGACAGGGAGCTGCAGTGCTTGATGTTGTGCAGTATGCATATTAGTCAGTATCGTGTCGATCTGTAAAATATCGCACATTTGCAAGGACGCCTTCCACCAGAAGCTCAAGCTCTACCGCAAGACCGAACAATTCCGGAATTGTTCCACGAAAGGAGGCTACTACTCCGAGTCTGATATGAGAAAGCCCGTCTCGGAAGGTGGGTTAGCCTACAAAGAGCCATCCGGCTAATTTCAATCAGAAAGAACTCGCCTTGATTGGTAGGTGTAGATTCAATAGCTCACACAGGAGTTTTAAGCCAAGGTTGAAGGTGAAGAAGATTACGAAGTACTGCGAAGAACATGGACTGACACGGTGCCCTTTCTGCAATGTTCCACAGTGACTGTGCCGCTCCTTGTGATTACATTGCTGAGGGTGAACAAGTACGACACCAGCGAAACCGAGTACTGGGTTGACTACAGGACAGAGGGTGTGCGAGGTGTCAACGAGTGTGACGGCATGGAAGATACGGGCGCCGGGCGGACCGACGGCTTCGTGGCACCTGCCCTGGACGATCTGCCGGTGCATGCGGATCCTGAGCAAGATGATCTTCCGGCTGGGCTTCACGTGGAGCAGGGCAAGAAGGCTGAGCTTTTTTCGGGACTTCTATAGACTTTCTGTTGGTGTATCGTTTGAATCTCGTTATATGCTTCCTGTTGCAATATCCGCAGGGCCTGGCTGCTTTGACAAAGATGCTGGAAGAGGCCAGAGGCACTAGGACGAAGCTGTCCAAGCTCATCAGCAAGACCCAGGACTCTACAACGAAACAGTGCAAACCTCATTGTGCTGCATTTCCTGTGTCCTATGCAAGGGTTTCTGCTGTGCTTCCTGTGTCAACTGCATACTGAGATGTAAGCTGCAAGCTCCTCGCACACCGAGGGAGAGGGACAAGATGAACAAGGTTGTGGATGACTTGGGTGATGCCCATGACGAGTTGGTTTCCCTACAAGCCGAAGCAAGCGTGAATGGCTTGGATGGCGAGTGTCTTGCACATGCAAGCAGGGACACTATGCTGTCTGGTGTCGGGTTTTTGCTTGAGGATGTTAGTGGGATTGAGGGTATCATGGTGTATATGTGGGTGTGGCGTTTTCGTGGTAATGAGAGTTTAGGGATGGCTTCACCCGAAATACTACCCTTGAAAGAACCCTAAGAGGAGCCCGTGCAATCCCCCAAAGCCCCTTATCGTGACCCTAAGCTGGGCCATCTTGTAACTACTACTTGAGGACAGTCATGGCAAACAGGCAGGGTTCAGGGGTAGAGCTTTAGGGGCTTCATAAAGCTTTAAAACTGTTTTTAAGTTTAGGGCTGCGGGGCTTCAGGTTTTAAGGTTCTAGGGTTTTAGGATCCAATGCCGGCAGCATAGGCTTGCGGGTTTATAAACCCGTAGAAAGTATTTGGAGCCCAGATCCCTTACTTGGTTTCCTGCAAAGCGCCCAAAGTAGGGGCCCAACCCTAAACATGAACCCTAAACCCAAACCCAAACCCATGAGCCCTAAACCCAAAGCCCTGAATCCCTAAACCCAAAGCCCAATGAGCCCTAAACCCAAAGCCCTGCAGCCCTAAACCCAAAGCCCAAACCCAATCCATAAACCCTGACCCCTATAAAACCCAAAGCCCCTGTGCGAAGCTTGCAGCCTCTTGGTGGATTATTAGGATTAATATAGAACCCGAATCCCTAGCCACGCCAACCTTCCGAAAAGGTGCATGCAGGCCTTATAGGGGTTTTGGGTTCAATAAACCCCCCAAAACCCTTGCCCCTCTGGCCCTCCTGTGTGAAGCTTGCAGCCTCTTAGCGGACTATTATTATCATATAACCCGAATCCCTATAGCCACTCCAACCTTCCTAAAAGTTTCATGCAGGCCTTATAGGGGGTTTGGATTTATATGGGGCTTTGGGTTTGGGTCTCTTGGCAACCAGATCCCGGATCCTCTTTTAGTATATTTCAAGGGCACACGAGGGTGGGGAACCCTAGGCCGAGTAGGGATTATAAAGCATATGTTCCTATATTGGGGAAGGGTGGGTGGGTGGGGGGGGGCCCCAATAGCGGCCGATGCTCGATGCATGCCTGTCAGACATGTGCCAAGTGCCGGATCTTGATGATCAGCTCGGATCAGCTCGGCTTTCTTCCGGCATTTTCTGTGCGAGCTGCAGAAAGTAGATCATCGACTTGGATAAGCAAGTTGAAGATGTCTTTCACCAGATTCCCCAAGGGCCACGGGCCAAAGAACTTGTCCTCCCACCTTTGTTTGCTCATGACCTCCGTCGGGTCCGGGAGCCACGGCTCCGGTGGGCCATGCAGTGATGCTCTGGATGCTCAGTCGCTCACTGGGACTTCTCTCTGTCGTTGAGTTTTGGGGTTTCGACTCTCACACTCGCACCAGGCATTTAGGGTTACGGGTTTCGGGTGTAGGGTATACTGTATGGGTCGAATATAGGGTTTACCTAGGCGATGTTTTACAAATCCATTTAGACCCAGATGACCCATCCCGAACCCTGCAATCCCTTTACAACCGCTCAACATGCGAATCGCTATTTGCTCCCACTAAGGCTTCAGAAGAAGTGCGAGGAGAAGTACAGGGACATCAAGAAAATGTGACTTTGTACCGCAATCTTTTGCAGGGGTAGGATCTGCTTGCACCCTGACCCTAGCTTGCTGTCCACATAAGGTGTGTTTTGGCTGTGTCTTACGAGCTGAAGAACAGGTGTTGCAACCAGACCAAAGTTCTGTCTGGCAGTTCTACATAAACCCTCCATGAACCCACGATCCCTGTCAGGGGAGTGAAGCGGGTGGGAAGGACCGATGATCACAAAGCCAACGAGGCGCTGAAAGCCAAGCCAGATTCCAAGACGGCTCCGAGGGCTGTGAAGCAGCCTAAGGCAAAGGCCAAAGGCGGGGCTAAAAAGACCGCCAAGTGATGCGGAGGATGCTAGTTGCTAGGTGGGGCCATGGCACAATATTTCTATACCTGCAAGGCATCTAGAGACGGCTCGATGGGCATCCTTCACAAATTTGTCTGGGGAGTAGCTTTTCAACGCTACAGTAGAGAAGGAGATGTGTGAGTGTTCGCTTCGGCACTGCATGCTCCTGACTGCAAATCGCAAGGGACAGGGCTGGCTTGCAAAATGTGCTGCTGTTGTTCGCTATTTCTTTGCATCTGGCACAGCCTGCACCTCTCTTAAAGTTGACCCTCGCCTTCGAAGAAACCGTTTTCAATGCCAGGTCAAGAGATTGGTGCCCGTGCTTCACACAAAGCTTGCAGCATGGTGAAAGCTTATGCGCGGGGAGCTGGGGGCTCAGTTCGGGCGAGACCCCTCGGCAAATTATCATTACATGTCTGCAAGCCGAAAACCCCTGTAATCCCCAGAACCCGACACACCAAAAAAGGGCCCTTATGAATCCCCGAACCCACAAGCTATATGCCCCTAAAATGCCCTAAGCTGTCCTTGCACCTCTACAAGCCCACATGCACCCCCCTCAAATTTCCCAAACCCCGAACCCAGAAGCCCCTAAAATGCCTTATGCGGGTTTCTGGGGCATTAGGACTCTTGGGGCTGAGGGCTCTCGGGTTTTAGGGCACTTTAGGGTTTTTGGGGCATTAGGACTCTTAAGGCTGAGGGCTTTAGGGTATTAAGGGCAGTTTGGGGAGGGCTTTATAGGGTTTTGGGGCACTTGATGGGCTTACAATCGTATTACCGGAAACCCTATAAAACCTAGGAATAACACCCCTGATCACCCCTAAAAGACCCCTTTGTAAA